TATATATATATAATTAGACAATACTATTATCATAACGTTAATAACTGAATATTAAACAACATTTATTTATTTTATTTGTTTGTTTATTAAAATATTACGAACTCGTAGCTCAATGCTTACTCCAGAAAAGCTATAAGATTTATAACATTGTGTTTATAATATTATTTTAAATGTTTTAAACTTATTTAAAAAAAAAATGTTGAGGAATATTATACATTATTATACTCGAACACATTTCAATTTAATTTAAATAACTATTCATTCGCCTTCTTTTGTTAATAAAATCCAGTATTTTCACTTTATTGCTTTTTGTGAGTCTGTGACCATGAATAGTAAAAACCAAGAAGGGGAACTTCAAAAAGTATTATGTTGTTACTTGTTAATAATTCTTAGTTGTGTCTACAATCTAAATTCTTGCACTTACCTATAAATATAAAACAATAAATATTATTAAGTATAAAAATAGTTTAAATTTTTTATATTCTATAATGATAATGAATGATATTACGATTAATACAAATGGTAGGTAGGTACCTAATAAATATTATAATGGCGTAATAAAGGTATGTACTTTCTATGTAGTTATTTTGTATTTTTTTAAATTAATAATATTTATTTAGGTTAAGTGATTTTTTTTTTTTAATTTATTTAAAGATACTACTATGTTTAAAATCGATTAGTTTTTAATTTATTATCATCAGACAATTATGAAATGAGTAAATTACATTTTAAAATATCTATATACTACGGATAATATTAACATTTGGATTATGTTAATACCTATTGAGTATTGGCCAGTGCATAGCAGCTTATGTAAATTTTTAAAATTGTTAATATTAGGTACCATAACATTTCTGTATACTTAGCGAAATCATCATAGAATTACGATAACACGATTATAACATAATAAGTTATATTTTTACAGCTTAGGCTACCAGTTTAAATTGATGAGTAATGGATATAAATGCAGTTATAATCGAGTGAAATTTTCAGCATAACTTCATGTAAAGTATAACATCAATGTGGTTTTCGTCTACATTATGTCGTGACGTGATATGTTTACACCAAAAGGTAAATGTGAGTAATGTGACATTTATAAATTTAAACGCAAATCATCGAATATTTTAAAAGCTCAAAGTATCATAGGTGTTTTTATTTTTAAAAATAAATAATTCTTCATAATCTATATTTCCCATTTAAATGTTATTTATATGTCTTCAGTTAGATAAACTTAAATAATACATTTTAATTTGTAATTTATTATGCATAGGTAGATATAATAAAAAAATGAGATCAATGGTCACTATTAAAATAGTTATTATAATATTATCCAGAATGCATTACATTAACTTATGATATATTATCTTGCTAATATCAACATAATCCAAGATTTAAACAATATTTTTAGTAATTAATGTTACATTAGTTGTGATTTAAGATAAACTCGTATATTATAGTAAATCGTGAAAAATAAAATTTCTTCCTAAATATTGTAAGTAATTGATTAAAACAAAATGATATATTAAAACACGTGTACTTATATCGTATATAATTTAAAATATCCGTAAGATGTAATCGCTCTTGGTGTACACTTTTTCGACGCAATTATTTGTATTTTTAGTTGTATTATTTATAATTTATTAAAATTTGTTCTTAAAAAGAAAATTTTTATGTGAGTTTCAATGAAATAATTAATGAAAAGAATATAAACTTAGTGTTTTTAGCGTAATCAAAATATAGTGATATATAAAATTAAAAATGTGAAATTAACCACGAAAAAACCGAATAAATCATATATTGTTTCAAAGAGATTCAACGTTATTACTATAAATAATAAGACAAATTAATATTTTCAATGTCAGTATAGTCTATAGACAGTAAGTACTAAAAACATTTTATATTCCATTATGAACAAAAACATTTATGAAGTGTTAGTTACATGATAAACATTTTTACAATTAATATGCTACCTAAATTCGGATCATTACAATAAATTATCGTTATTATTTTATCAATTTTTTTTTCATTTTTGTTCAATTATAAAATTAATAATTTATCAATACTTAATTTACTAATAAATAACCTTTTTTCGGATTTATATGATTTGGTATTTTCTACTTAGAATAACTGGCTATTTGGTTGTTATTTTCTAATAGTTGAAAAAATTAATTAATTAAAATAAACTGTTATTTTTGGTTAAGTGTACATCATACTGATATCAATGACGTTATTAAATTATGATGAGAGATGAATATTAACTTTGCGTGAAGTAAATCCTCGTATTAAAACTTCATACTTTTTCTTCACCACACGAGTTAATAAGTACATAGATTGAAAAATGTATACATTAAACCAATGGTTAATTACTGTTTATACAAATAAGATTAACATTACTTGAAAATGTACTTCTTTTCTTAGTCTAACCAAAACACATATACCTAATAAAATGATTGTACCTATTTATTATGTTTAGATACTTAGTTATAAATATTCTGATATTTAACTATACATTTTTAGAGTTCTAAGAAAAAACAAACTTAAAATATAACTCTAAGACTTTAGATTAAATAAAAGATACATTTATTTATTCCATTCATTCATTAATATGTAAATGTACATAATATATAATATATATAATATAAATATTGTATTATTACAATTAATAAAACATTCAGTAAAATTGTAAATATAGTAAATATAAATTTCAATATTAAATCGCCTAGCTGATATTATAATATAGTGTCTAGTATACAGAGATGTTATAAAAAACGTATTAAACGTAGTATTATAAGAATTTTATTTAATATTTAACTAATAATTACGCATTCATGAACTAAATTCAATGTGTTTTTTATATTATAGTTAATTAAGAAATACACATTTACAAAAGTAAATTCAACTTTAATTTTAAGATCAATCATTCAGCAATCCTATCCATTAAAAATGTCAAATACGTGTAGTATTGTATTGTTATATTTAATCACTTGCATTTTGACATGCACGGCATCTGATACGCCTAAAGTACGTGTCAACTCAGGAATAATTTCTGGTGGATATGAATATAGCTATAATGGTAGAAAAATTTATTCATTCTTAGGCATACCGTACGCAAGTCCTCCAATTCAAAACTATCGATTTAAAGTATGTTAAGAATAATTTTCATGTTCACAGGAGATAAAGGTTGAAAAAAAATAAACGTTCTTTTGCAGGAACCACAGCCCGTAAAGCCTTGGTTAGGAATATGGAACGCTACCATTCCGGGAAGTGCTTGTTTAGGACCGGATTATGAATCCAATTTCAAAATTGTTGGTCAGGAAGATTGTTTATACCTTAATGTTTATACGCCAAAGGTAATTTAAAATACATGCAAATGATGAATGATGATAATATATACACCGTGTCTCTCTTTAATACTATATAACTACATAGTACATTTGAAACACTATACTTACAAACTTACAATTATTTTAAAAGCTATTAATCACATAAACGTAAACAATTTTCGCTTTGTTCATTAATTATGTTACTATGAAGTATGAAGTGATTGACTATTGTTCTTTAATCTATATCCCAATAGTAAATACTTAAATACCCAAATATGGCATTACACATAAAAATATAATTTTATTAACTAAACAGTTACCACAATCTACCACACCCGACGATTTAATGGATGTAGTGGTGTACATACACGGCGGTGCGTTCATGGGTGGCCAGGGCATTTCTTATGGTCCACAATATCTTTTGGATAACAATGACTTCGTTTATGTATCGATAAATTACCGTTTGGGTGTATTAGGATTTGCCACTACTGGTGATAATATTTTGCCTGCAAATAACGGCATGAAAGATCAAGTAGCAGCATTGAAGTGGATACAACAAAATATCGTTGTGTTTGGTGGTAATCCAAACAATGTCACAATTACCGGCATGTCAGCTGGTGCTAGTTCTGTTCACTACCATATGATTTCACCTATGTCAAATGGTGCGTATAAGTGTGTAATCTACAATGTTTTTTAAACAAAATTAAATTCGTACGTTTTGTAAACTGTAAACATTAAAAGATTATTTACAAAATTTGTTTACAAAATTCTCGTTTTGTTGAATATTGATTGGTATAGTTTTATTTAAATATATATATTTTGTTCAGAATTAACGATGTAAAATTTAAAAAAAAACTAATAATTTGATATCAGATATTCGTTTATTAACATGACGTCTGTTTTCAATATTAAAATAAGTATAGACATTAGGCATGTTTTATTTAACATATTTACATAATATTTTATGTCTTGACAAAATTTATGTTAACTAATCTATAAAATACATATAACATCGAAGGTTACTTATTTATTCACTGACAAATCTCGAAAACTATTCAACCCATGAACAATATTGGGAAGAAATGTGTTCCTTTTATAAGAATGAAGTTTAAAACGAGTTAATGAATACGTAACATAAATCATATTATATACGTTAAATAATTTACGTTTAACTTCGTTGGTTTAAATATTAAATAGAATTGGCCTACTATAAAACTTAATTGTTTTAACATTGTTCATGTTTTTGTCAATATTTTAATTTTGATTCAAATTATGATAATCTATAAAATGTAATATCTTACATAATTATAGTAGTGTATAAGTTATAACTGTGGTATATTAAACATTTTATATTTTAAGGTTTATTTAACCGAGCAATTCTTCAAAGCGGAAGTGCTTTTTGTCATTGGTCGTATACTGAAAACGTAGAACAAAAAACAAAGTATATTGCGAACATGCTGGGATGTCCAACAAATAATTCGGTGGATATCGTTGAATGCCTTCGTTCTAGACCAGGATTGGCCATTGCTAAATCATTTATAGAATTTATGGTAAATATTTTTTTAGAATTTATGATAAATTTATAATTCAATAAATCTTTTTTTTATATTATGATGTTTATAGCCATGGTTATACAATCCTTTTTCACCATTTGGTCCAACCGTTGAATTAATCGGAGACGAAAAATTCTTACCCGATATCCCAGAAAAACTCACACCATATGATATTCCAGTGTTAATGAGTGTTACCAAAGATGAGGGTCTTATTATTGCTATATATATTACCCATGAAGATCATATTAATAAACTAAACAATAATTGGAATGAATATTTACCACATCTTCTTGATTATAACTACACAATTCCAAACGAAAAACTAAGGAACAAAGTTTCTCAAGATATAAAAAAGTTTTACTTTGGTGATCAAACATTATCAAAAGAAACCATAAGCAATCTTGTAGAAGTATGTATAATATAATTACTTGATACTTGAATAATAATTTTAACGTTTTTAATATGTTTTTAATTTTTCTTTATTGGACCAATAGATGAATTTAATATATTAACTATACATAATTAACTCAAATCATTAGATTAATCCTATAACAAATTGAGAACTAAAAAATTTATATAATATTTTGTCATTTTGAAAAATTAATCAAAATCAATCCAAATTTGTTTTACATTACTCCTTATTTTTGCAAACCTGAGTGTTAAATCATTTTTGTTTGTTTGTTTGTTTGTTTTTTTTTTTTATGTAATTTATATCGAAAATATTTGTAGTTAGGTAATTACTGTTATATTTTTTTTGTAAAGATCAATTATTTTCTATATACGTACTTAATCAGAATATAATTTTTATTCTATTCGAAGTATATTTTTGTACTTTTAGTCTTTTTAAAGTCAAATTTTTAAAATATACTATTTTTAATTTACTATATATAATTGCATGTTTATCACTCTTCCTTATTGAATATATTATAAAAATGAGATAATAATCTATTATCAACATATTTCAGATGATTTCAGATAGAATGTTTGGATATGCTATAAGTAAAGCTGCTCAGCATATTTCTGCTAAAAATACGGCACCTGTATATTTTCATGAATTTGGATACAGTGGTAATTATTCTATCATAGCTAAATTAGATCCGAAATCA